GTTTTGTGTGCAGCAGGAGTCATTTTGTGGTACTCTTGGGGTCACCTCGTGTTCGTTTTCTGTCTCTGTCGTACTTTTGGATCTCTTCGTTTCATTTTGTGTCGTTTTGTCCACTTTGTGTGTCTTTAACATCATTTTGTTCTCGTTTGTCTTTGACGTCGCTTCACGTCTTCTTGAGCTCATTTTGTCTTTGTGGTCACGTTGCAGCTTGTTGTCAGTCAGGTTGTGTCACTTCCTGCTCATTTTGTGCGTTTATGTGTTTGAACAAATGAGCGACAGACGACGTGTTAAACTCCAGACGCACAGTTTGAACACACAACCAGAACATCTGGAGCCCAGACGTGGTGAGGAGCTCGAACCTGCAGCTGGGCTTCATGTCGGGGGAAGTTCAGCAGAAGCAGCAGAGTTTGATTTGTTTTCCGTTGTGGTGAATCGAAACACAAAGACTCACTCTGGTCGTCTGTGTGGTTCACTGATTCAAAGTCACTTCATTCATTTGTTCCTCGTCTGGTTCCTGCAGGAAGAAGAATCAGGTCTGAGCTTCAAGTCACAATATTTCATCAGAATCTCTTCATTCTACGACGTCACACAACGAACAACCAGATTCTGTTAAAACGACCCGAAGAGGCACGAAGCGACATAAAAACATCAAAAACAAACTGAGCACAGAGACACAAAACTGGACAAAAAACAACCAAAACGAGAAACAAAATGACAAAGACGAGATGAAAAGACCACAAATAAAAGACAAACAACACAACAAACAGCAACAAGGAGACAAAACAGAAGCTGTCTGAACAAAACAACCACAAAGAGACCAAAAACCAAAACCAAAGAGTCTGAGACAGGAAACAGTTCAGCATCTGCAGGAGACAACATATCTGCAGTAGAAGGTAAAATAAAAACCTTTCGGTTCACGGCGCTAACGCTGCTCCACTGTGGCCTGGTTCTGGACTAAATGAGTCCACAGCGATCAATACGTCCCGACAATGACTCAGTTTGTTCAGATTTGCTCCTAATTAGTCTAAAAATGACAAAAATTTGACCAGAATGATTGAAATTTATTTAAAATCATTGAAAATGAGCCAAAATCTGCTCAACATGCTTGAAACTGTTTTTAAAACAAACTGAGAATCAGTCTGAGATGAACAAAAACTGTCCAGACGGATGAGAACCTTGTTTGAAATGTGTCTCGAAGGGCTGAAAGTTCTCACAATCATCTCAGAACGAGTCTGAATTGAGTCAAACCTGTGGAGTAACTTCAGCTGTTTGATAAATACAGAAAGAAACCTGCAGTACTTCCCTCTGACGTGGACCAGAGAGGCCCAGGAGTCCTGCGGTGAAGCTGAAGGCTCCGGTTTGGCGCCGCCTGCTGGTCACATGACGCCAGCGTCCCGTCAACACTCGATCACATTGATCAATAAATTGTCACGTGTCTCTGTGTTTCCGTCTGATAGGGATTTTACCAATAACTGATCAAAGTTAAATCAATCACCGTCGTTATTATGATTAAAAATAAAAGTGTTGAGAGCCTCGTGGAGGGAAACTGGCTTCACTGTAATAATAATAATAATAATTATGATTCTGTGTAGACGGACAAACGTTCTGTGTGACTTTACCAGATTTTATGTGTCATTTAACTAAATGTGTAAAATAATAAATGATAAAGAAGATTCACTGGTTTGGCTGTTTATGGATATTTTTCTGTCTTTGTGGTCGTTTTGCATCATCTTGTGTCTCTTTGTGGTTGTTTTAGTGTCGTGTTGTGTGTCTCTGTTCACAGCCTCTTCAGGCCTGTTGGTGGTAATTCTGGGTGTGTGTGTCTTTTGTGTGATTTTTTGCCTCTTCGTGGTAGTTTTGTGTGTTTTGTAGACGTTCTACATGTGTCTGGCTTCGTCTTGTGTCTCTTTGTGGTTATTTTGTGTCTCTTTGTGTGTTTTTGGAGCTGGTCTGAATGCAGCTGTTGGACATAAATCCTTAAATCCTCTTTAACCCTTTTCTCCAGCAGCTGAACCAGTTTTCTTATTGTTGTGTGTCGCTCTGAGGTTTCCTCCCTTTTCTCTCTTCAGGGTTCAAATTCCAGCTTCCTCCTCCTCCTCCTCCTCCTCGGCCTTCCTCTTCCTCCTCTTCCTCCCTCGGGGCTCTCATGTTGTCGTGCTCCAGGTTCGGCTGCAGCTGTTTGCTTTTTCCTGAAACACGACGAAGGAAGTCCGAGGATCTGCTGCTGCTGCTGCTTCACAGTGAGTCTCAGTCAGCAGAACAATGTCCAGCTTTACGTTTGCATGCCGTCTTCAGCTCACATGATTCACTCACAGCCGAGGAGCTGAATTAAAATCAGATGTTTTTGTTCCGGCGCTGCTGTTAAACGTCCAGACGGAAACTTTAAGCTTCACAAACGTGCAGAAAGATTTCATGAGAAAAAGCTGCTCAGCAGAAACGGTTTCATTCTGAAGCATCAAACTTTTAATTCATAAATAAGTTTAGTTTTTAAAAAAAAAACATCTGATTGTTGTTCATTTTTCTTATTTATTGTGCATCAAAACTGGGATTTTATGCTTTTTAAAAAATGAATTTAATCTGAGTGAATTTGTTTATTTGTGACAGTTTTTGGTTTTTGAAAAAAAAGTTTTTAAAAAATAAAATAAAATCTGTAATTTTATAGAATTTTTCTCTTTTATTTGACAGATTTTTCTACCTTTGAAAATTTTTGAACAATTCCCAAAAGAGACTGTTCCATGCATTTAAATATAAAATAAGAATTAGAAAAAAATTCAGTTTTTGGTTCTGATTCTTTATTTCTTCATAAATTTATTGTAATTTCTCGTCTCAACATTTTCAGGTTCATTTATTAGATAAAACTATTAACTTCAGATTAAATAACTTTTTTTAAAAAGTTAAAATAACTTTTAACTTAAACGTTTTACAGCAGTTCTCTGGAGGTTTAATTTTACAGTTTTGTTAAATTAAAAATAATCATTAATAAAAATCTAATATTTTACAGTATTTCAAAAGATAATAATTTGCTCTTTTACAGAATTTTACAGAATTTTAATCAGCAAAAAAACAAAAATAATAAATCTTTGCAGATATCTGTTTTTTATTGAAAAGGAACAAAATGCATATGAAAGACTAGAAAACAACTTATTTGACAGATTTTCATGATTTTGTTAAATTGCAGATAAAATAGAATAAAATCACAAAAAGTAATAATTTGAATGTTAACTTGTTGTTGTTGTTTTTTACAGTGTTTGACAAAATAAACTAAATAGTTTTGCAATTTTTAAATCAGCTAAAAGACTTTTTTCTGCCAAATCATCAGATTACTTTAACAGAACCTTTTTTTTTTTTTGCTTGTTTTTTTGCAGCGTCGTCGTTTCTTTTATGATTTTATTTACCTGTGACTGAACCAGGACGTCCTGCAGATCTGACCGAGGCAGCAAAATCATAGCACTGACGTAAAACAGAGACATGAGACACAAACAAACACTAAAACAGCAAAACAGATCAAAAGCTTTTCATCGATCAATGATCCCGACTCCTCATCGGACGACTCCGTTCAATCAAAGGAGGAGAAATTCCTCCACTGGCTACGTTTTCTTTTTGTGTTTTAAACCAATTTCAGATCGTTGAAGTTCTTCTGTCGCACAAAGTTTCTGTCACCGATCGATTGGTTTCTGATCGATGAAGCGTCCTGTCATCGGTTGTCAGTGCGACGTGCTGTTTGCCTTTAACAGTGAACAGCATCAGGACGAACTTCCTGCTGATTTCATCGGTTAGAAAATGTTCCTTCACATCAGATTGTTTTGTCTGCTTCAGGCGTTTTTCCAGATTCCCTCCTGATGAGCTGATGCTTGTTTACATGTCTTGTATTTAGGCTCTAAATTACAGGATTTGTAATGTTTAAAATATAAAACTTAAGACTGAGATCGAGTCATTTTGATGCTGTAATAAGTTTCAGTCCCAGTTTAGAAGCTGCAACTGCTTTTATTTCAGGTAAAAAACTGAATTAAATGAGTTTATTGTTTTTTTTAAAAAAAACAAAAAACAAATCCATGAATAAACAGTGACAGAAGAAATGTGTTAAAAGACAGAATACTGTAGAATTCAAAAACTATGAAAACAACAGCAAATATCTGTAAAGTCCATCCATCCATCATCTTCTGCTTATCCGGGGTCGGGTCGCGGGGGCAGCAGGTGGAGCAGGTCATTCCAGACTTCCCTCCCCCTGGCAACGCTTTCCAGCACTTCCTGGGGGATCCCGAGGCATTCCCAGGCCAACCAAGAGATATAATCCCTCCAGCGGGTTCTGGGTCTGGCCCGGGGTCTCCTTTCATGTGGACGTGTTCGGAAGACCTCCAGAGGCTGCCTCTCCAGAGGCATCCGAATCAGATGTCCAAACCACCTCAAATGGCTCCTTTCAACGTGACGGAGCAGCGGCTCTACTCCGAGCTCCCTCCGGATGTCTGAGCTCCTCACCCTATCTCTAAGGCTTGAGCCCAGCCACCCTGTGGAGGAAGCTCATTTCGACCATTTGTATCCGCGATCTCGTTCTTTCGGTCATGACCCAAAGCTCGTGACCATAGGTGAGGGTTGGGATGTAGATTGACCGGTAAATCGAGAGCCTCGCCTTGCGGCTCATCTCCCTCTTCACCACGGCGGTCCGGTACATTATTGCTGACGCGGCACCGAGCCGCCTGTCCATCTCGCGCTCCATTTTCCCGTCACTTGTGAGCAAGATCCCGAGATACTTTTACTCCCTTGCTTCAGGAAGTAACTTCCCCTCCCCAGAGGTGGCAATCCACCAGTTTCCAACAGAAGACCATGGTCTCAGACTTGGAGGTACTGATCCACATCCCAGCCGCTTCACACTCGGCTGCAAACTGCTCCAGTGCATGCTGAAGTCATGGTCTGATGAAACCAACAGTACCACGTCATCTGCAAAAAGCAGACACCCACTGGGAACATGTCTGACTTATTGCCGAGAATGCGGACACAGCTCGCACTTTGGTTGTAAAGGGACCGTATGGCTCATAGCAGCGAGCCTGGTACCCCATACTCCCTCAGTACCCCCCGCAGAGCCCCTTGGGGGACACGGTCATAGGCCTTCTTCAGATCCACAAAGCACATGTGGACTGGCAGGTCGAATTCCCATGCCCCCCTCAGCAGCTCCGCAAGGGTAAAATGCTGGTCCACTGTTCGGAGCCTTCTCTTCAGCACCCTAGAGTAAACTTACCTGGGGAGGTTGAGAAGTGTGATGCCCCAGTAACTGGGACACACTCTCCGGTCCCCTGTTTTGACAATGGGAACCACCACCCCGGTCTGCCACTCCACAGGCACTGTACCTGATGCCTACGCGACATTAAAGAGACGTGTCAGCCATGACAGTCCAACAATGTCCAGAGCCTTCAGCATCTCAGGGCGAATCTCGTCCACACCTGGCGCTTTGCCACCGAGGAGCTTCTCAACTACCTCAACGACCTTTACCATGAATATGGACGCAGAAATCCCAGAGTCCTCAGGCTCTGCCCCTTCAGCATAGGACGTGTTTACCGGGATCAGGAGTTCCTCGAAGGGCTCCTTCCACTGCTCGACCAGATCCCCAGTCTGGGTCAGCAGTTCTCCTCCCCGGCTGTACGCAGTCTGGACGAATCTCTGCCTCCCCTTTCTGAGGCGTCGGACGGTTTGCCAGACCTTCTTCAACCAAAAGTCCTTCTCCATAGCCTCACCGAACTCCTCCCACACTAGAGTTTTAGCTTCCACGATCACTGCAGCTGCAGCCCTTTTGACCGACCACCACAACAGGCACCAGTGACCTTCTGGCCACAGCTTCTAACAGCCACTTCTGCAATAGAGGCTTTGAACATGGCCCACTCTGATTCCATGTCCCCAACCTCCCCCGCGATGCAGGAGAAACTTCTGGAGGTGGGAATTGAAAACCCCATGGACAGGGGCCTCCAACAGACGTTCCCAGTTCACCCTCACTACATGTTTGGGTTTACCAGGTCTGTCCGGCAGCCTTCCCTGACATTGGATCCAACTCACCACCAGGTGGTGATCAGTTGACAGCTCTGCTCCTCTCTTCACCCGAGTGTCCAAAACATCTGATGATACGACTACGAAGTCGATCATCGACCTTTGGCCTAAGGTTCTCTGGTACCAAGTACACTTACAAGCAACCTAATGTTTGAACGTGGTGTTTGTTATGGCCAATCCGTGGCTAGCACAGAAGTCCAATAACAGAGCACCGCTCACGTTGGGATCGGGCAGGCCGTTCCTCCCAATCACGCCCCTCCAGGTTTCACCGTCATTGCCCACGTGAGCATTGAAGTCCCCCAGGAGAACTATGGAGTCCCCAGGCCGCACCCCTTCCAGGACACTGCCCAGCCACTCCTAGAAGGCCGGTTAGTGCATAAGCACTAATGGCAGTCAGAGTTTTCCCATCTGCAACACAGAGTTTCAGAGAGGCGAGCCTCTCATTCTCTGGGGGCTTGTGAGTATCCCCACGCCCGCCTGGCGCCTCTCACAGTGGGCAACTCCAGAAAAGGAGAGAGTCCAACCCCTCTCCAGGAGTTTGGTTCCGGAGCCCTTGCTGTGCGTGGAGGTGAGCCCGACTATATCTAGCCGGTAACGCTCCACCTCCTGCACCAGCTCAGGCTCCTTCCCCGCCAGTGAGGTGACATTCCACATCCCCAGAGCTGGTCTACACCACCAGGGGGCGGTACACCAGGACGCCCGCTCCTGCCTACCACCTGGTGGGCATAGCACCCGACCCCGACCCCGATCCTCTTCCCTGAGGGTATATATTGATATTTTTAATGAATAACATTTTGTTCAGTTTTGGCTGATTTTATTTTGTTTGTTTGTTTGTTTGTTTGTTTGTTTGTTTGTTTGTTTTGTATCTGTCGACTTATTAATTAAAATTTTTTAATCTGTAATTTTATTAGTTATTTTATTTATAAAGTCACAGTTAAAGCTTTTTTCCCTTTAAAATAACACCAAGCATTTGTAAAATGCTTTTTTAAAGCTGATTTAAATACAGAAAAAAATACAATTTTATTTCATATTATTTTCAATTTCAACTTCTTTTTTGTTTGTTTGTTGATTTCTGTGATTTTTTTTTTTTTTTTTTTTACAAGTTATTATTTCTAATTTAACTAAACAGTAAAAAAATAAATAAATGTAAATTGTTCTAAGAACAGTTAAAAGCTGAAAAACAGACGTGTTTTTTGTTTGTTTGTTGGCTTTGGGGTTTTTTTGTCCGTTTTTCTTGGTTTTATGTTGTGTTTTGTTTTTTTTATTGGTGGTTGCGGTGTTTTTTTTTTTTTTTCTATTTTTTGTTGGTTTTTGTTTTTTTTTACTATTTTTTGTTTGTTTTGTTTTTTGTAGTTTTTTGTTTTGTTTTTGTTGTTTTTATGTTTTTGTTGTTTTTTGTTTATTTTTAAAATGTTTTTTGTAGGTTTTTTTAAATGTTTTTTGTCGTGTTGTTGTTATTTTTGCTGAGTTTTTTTTGTCGCCTCTGGAATGTTGTTTTGGTTCCTGGCTTCCTTTCAGCTTATCGGCCTCCATCTTTGTGTCAACAGCTTCATTGTGTTCAGAGATTCTAGAAAGCTGCAGTGAATCAGTGACTGTAAACTCACTCTGCTGTGTGTTTCCAGGCGTCCAGGTGTGTCCAGGTGTGTCCAGGTGTTTACAGGTGTGATCGGGTGTTTACAGGTGTGATCAGGTAAACGATGGGAGTCACTGATCCTGTTCGGCCTCGGCGTCCCTTCAACAGCATCAAGGTTCGTCTTCATTTTTCTGCTTTTTTTATTCATTAGCACGTCGAGATTCAATCTGTGAAGTAAAACTTGAACTCTGCATCTCTTCTTCTTCTTCTTCTTCCTGTTTGTTGTTGTTGTCGTTCCCTCCTCCTCCTCCTCCTCCTCCTCTTCCTTCTCCTCCTCCTCCTCAGTTCTTTGTGTTCTGCCACTGCTTGCTGCAGTTGTCTCAGCTCCTGGTTTCGGGCTACATGAAGAGCTCCATCTCCACCATCGAGAGACGTTATGGTCTGTCCAGCCAGAAGTCCGGCCTGCTGGCCGCCTTCAACGAGGTCAGAGGTCCAAAAACGATATGAAATATGTCCAGAAGTACTTAAACTCGTCCAGCATGGCCTGAAATTTGACCAGAAAAACTGAGAATTTGCCTAAAAATGTTTTAAAAAATCCTCCAATCTTGGTGTTCATGTCTCCAAAACACATCATAGCTGCTTCTGTGTTTCCCCGTGAAGCCAGAATCTGAGTTTCTCACCGCTGACGTGTTACTAATCTATTATAACGGTCGATCAACTCTCTGTCCTTTCAAAATAAAAGCGTGACGCCGTGGTGGATGTTGTTTTGTGTGTCCAGGTGGGGAACACCGTCCTCATCGTCTTCGTCAGTTTCTTCGGCAGCCGAGTCCACCGGCCGCGCTTCATCGGGGGCGGGGCTCTGCTGGCGGGCGTGGCCTCGCTGCTGATGGCGACGCCTCACTTCCTGAGCGGGAAATATCACTACGGCGACCATGTCAACAGTGAGACTCGTAGAACAATAACGGTTCTTGTCAGGTTGATTTAAAGATAATATTTAGTAAAATCGCAGGAAAATAAGGGTTAAAACAAACTACAAAACTAAACCATGTCCACATAAAGAATCTGTAAGTTCTGCATTAACATGAACTTGTTTCCCTTCAGCCTCCGTTCTCTGCCAATCAGAGAGCGGCCCGGCCGCCCCATCGTCCAATCAGAGCTGCCTGGCGCAGCAGAGCTCCGCCCAGCAGGTGGTGTATCCTCTGCTGCTGCTGGCTCAGCTGCTGCTGGGCGTGGCCTCGGTTCCCATCCAGCCGTTCGGCATCTCGTACATCGACGACCACGCCAGCCGGAGGAACTCGCCGCTCTATCTCGGTACCACGCTTCTGTCTTTGGGTCATTTTGACCAGAATTCCTCAGTTCTTGTCATTTTTTAACAGGTTTCAAGTCGTAATGAACGAGCGTTTTTCATTTCAAACCAACTTTGAGTAAATCTGGAGACATTTCAGGTAGTTTTGGACAAATGTACTAAATTCAGACCAGTTTAATGTTGTTAAAGACAATTTTTCTTTTTTCATTTTGGAACAAGCGTTTGTTTTTTGACCAAGTTTTGTCAGAATTTGGAGTCATTTTGGGCACATTTTTGCTAGTTTGGGAGCATTTTTTCATCTAATGGACAAGTTCTGGTTATTTTGGGCATATTTTTAAGTTATTTTCAACAACTTTTAAATCTTATCTGACAGATTTCTAGTAGTTTTGGAGACATTTTGAGTCGTTTTAAAAACTTCTTGTCATTTCATACAAGTTTAAAGTAGCTTTGGACAAATTTCAGGTAGTTTTCAACTCGCTGTTCGACATTTTGGACAAGATTTGTCAAACTGGACAACAGAAGTTGAATATTTTGAATTTTTTCCATGTTCCACCATCAGATGTAGAAAGATGTTCCTCCACCAGCTGGATGTATCTCCAACAACCGGCTCCTCTGTTCTCTGTTTGCTGCGTTTATTTTAAGATAGGATAAGATAAGATAAGCCTTTATTTATCTCACAGTGGAGAAATTCACGTTGTTGATAGCAGCATTAAACACAGAGATACACACATACGAGACAGAAAAAAATGTACAGATAAATATAAGAAATAGTGCAAACAGAAAATGAAAATGGGCTTCTGAATGGGGGTACATAGAAAAGATATATGTATATATATAAATATAAAAGATAGGGAATAAACTTTAGGCTCAGGTTTGAGAGTTTTCCCAACAGCTTGTCACACATGAGCATAAGAATTTAACATCCTTTCAAATGCAAACCTGAAAACTATGAGTTCAGTCCGTCGTGCTGAAGAACTCAGAAGTTTTAGATTTTTTTTTTTTTACAGAATCTGTTTAACGGAAACGAGGCGTGTAGAATAAAGTGGTTTTAATGAAATATCACAGCTTGTAGCTCAGATTCAACAGTTTTTTTCTTGTGTTTTTGCCGTTTCTGGCTGATGAATCGTGTCTCTTGGTGATTGATTCTAAATGACATAACGTGACCTGTGGATCAGGTTCAGACTCAGAGTTTCCTTGTTGACGCTATGAACAGGTTTGTTACCTAATACGCTGCGATAATCAGTCGATCAGATCTGAACAACGAATCTGATCCGTTTTCTGTCCGACTTGTTTCTGCGAGGCTTTGCAGAGTGAAGCCGTCTGCAGCAGAACCCGCTGAACCCGAGGTGTGAATGTTGACCGTCTGCTGCCTGACAAATACCGTTCATGCCGACGTGCAGCCGCAGTGATCGGTTTATCAGTCGACACACAGCCGAGATAAAACGAACCCGTGAGCAGCTTGAAGTGCAGCATGTTCAAGCTAAATTAAAGAATCTCGGGTTCCTTTCAGCGGCTGTATTTCACATTAACATCATTACGAACCAGAGAGACGGAGAGGAAACCCAACTGACCGGATTGATGGATAAATGCAGCACGGCTCAGAACCAGTGGACTCGAAACTGGTGTAAACTCGTCCAACACGACTTAAAGTTGTCTTTCTAAACTAATTTGGATTCATGTTGAACTAGTCCCAAGTGGTCGTAGTGAGTTGTTTGTTTATTTCAGACAATTTGGAGTCACTTAAAACAAATTTTGAGTCATTTTGGACAAACTCATGTTACTTTAGATGAGATTCAACTTTTTTACCACAAGACTAGACTGCAAGTAAAATAAAAATCTACTGGATCAATAAATAAATGCAGCATGGATCAGAACCAGAGAAGAGAGGAACCAGCTGTTGGAGATACATCCAGCTGATGGTGGAACATCTTTCTACAGATGATGAGCAGAGAGGAACAAAAATTGTTGTCCAATATGGCAACAGCTAGCTGAAAACTGTCAAATGATGCAAAATTTGTCCAGAGCTTAATTACAAGAAATTGTTGACTCAAAATGTTTCCGAAACAACTAGAAATCCGTCAAATAAGATTTTAAAGTTATCAAAAATAACTTAAACATTTGTCCAACGAGACAAAACTTGTCCAATATTACAAAAATATGTCAAAATTTTTCAAAACCTGCCAAAAACTGTATGAAACTGACTCAAAAACCGCCCCAAAAGTCGTCAAAATTCATCCCTAACTTCTGGAAATTTGTGCAGAATGAGTCTAAATTTGTCCACAGTGACTCAAACATTCTCAGAATTATATAAAAGTTGTCCAGAATTTTTTAAAAATTGCCCAAAATGTCTTAAAACCTGCCCGAAATTACATGAAACTTGTCTAGAACCACTAAAACAGCCCAGTTGTGCTTTTGTTGGTGGGGCTCACTGATGGGAGGCTGAATCAGATCGAGTTTAGTTTTGTTTTTGTTTCATCCAGTGTCGGTTAAACACCTGTGGACTTAAAACACGTCCAAAGTCACCCAAAACCTGCTCAAAGCTTTTTGACAATAGTCCAGAACAACTTAAAATCTGTTCAGCATCACGAGAACATGTCAGAAAAAGTCCACTACATGATAAAAACCTACCGGAGACGACTCAGACGTCCCCAGAACTACTGAAGACTTGTTCAAAGCTGTCTGAAGCTGCAACATGTTGAACGCAGAATCCGTGTTGGTGGTTGTTTCTGGTTCCACTGAGATGCTGTGAGGTGACTCAGCTGTTTGTCTTCCAGGCATCCTTCTGGCCGTCACCTCCATCGGTCCGGCCTTCGGCTTCGTCACCGGCGCCTTCATGCTGCGATTCTACGTCGACTTCGACAAACTAACCAAAGGTGAGGAGGCCACGAATCCATCAGGACTGAAGAACTAAAACCTGAGTTAAAGCTGCAAGTAAACACTCGAGTTTCATGTTGGAGATCAACATCTGGCTCCTCAGCAGGTAGAAACTGAAGCATGTGTTGGACAGTTATGGTTCAAACCGTTTGGCTGATGTGAGCAATATTCGAGGAGTTCTTGGCATTTTTGGACAAGTTTAGCCATTTTTGACCAATTATAAGTAGTTTTGGAGAAGTTTAAAGTAGTTTAGACGAGTTTAAGTAGAGTTAGACCAGTTTTAGGTGGTGTTTGTCATTTTGAACACACGTTGAGTCATTTTGGACGAGGTTATGATGATGTTAGTTTTGGGGGTTGCTGAGGATTCCCTGGAACTCTCTGAACTCTGAGCAGCTGTTGGTGAGTTCAGCTCCTGTGAAGAAGGAGAGGGAGTCCTATCGCACACATTTTTAGTCGCTTTGTCAATCGGGACCATTTTTGAGTAGTTCTACACAACTTTAAAATGATTTTGTACCAGTTTTAGTCATTTTTAGTTTTGGAAAAGTTTGAAGTCATTTTGTGGAGATTTAAAGTCATTTTGAAGAAAATCTTGGTCATTTTTGACAAGTTTTGAGTCCTTTTGGCAACATTTTTGTAATTTTGGGCTAATTTTTCCTCATGTGAACAAATTTTGTGTCATTTTGACCTTTTTTTTTTTTTTTCTTTTTTAAATCATTTAAACAAGTTGTGAGTCATTTTGGACAAGTTTTGGTTATTGCTGACACATTTCAATAGTTTTGGAGTCGTAGTCGTTTCTGTACATGTTGGATTTCTGGACAAGAATAAGACAAAGGTTGCGTTTGCTGGGATTTTTCTCTGCCTTCCAACAGCTTTCTCTTCTCCAGACTGTTTTTAATCGAGCTGCACTTTGCTAGTTTGCCGTTTGTTGAGACGCTGCTGGTTGTTTGACAGCTTCAGGATTAATGAAGCGTTTCGCTCTTGACAGACGTGTTCAGACAGAAACCCGTCTTCATGACGTTGGGGAGGTGTGTGGGAACCGAGGTGTAGATGTTGGTTATGTGTTTATTTGATGTGTGCAGGAGTTTTTGTGCACATTCAGTTTTATGGGAGCAGTCTGAGAACTCTGACCTGTAAAGAACATTGTTGTGTGTTTTTAAGGCTTCAGATGTGGTTTTATGCACCGACGCCGCTGTATGAGCTCGTTGTCATCAGAGATTGAAGGATCATGTTGTCGCACAGCTCCTTTGTCCTTCGGCTATAAACCAGCGTTTTATTGCTGAACTAGTTCCTCATTGTGTCGACTGACTCATGAAACAGCCGCTGTTTGTTTGATTGGCTGAGCTTATCTGCACATTCAAAGAATTAAGGTCAACTGTTCATAATAACACTTGACCGGCATTAAACTCAAAACTTTTCACACTGAAAATGGTCAAAAGTTCCCAAAAAGTTTGTAACAAAACATCAGATGTTAAGAGGAGCTTGTGTACGATTATTAATACGAAATTATTAGTCAGTCCAAAACCAGCGCAAAACCAGACCATAAAAACCCAGCTGAACCCAGTATAAACCAGTCTGATACAGCAGGTCCCAAACTAGGCGAAAACCAAACCCAAAACCAGTCTAAGCTTAAACCAGACCGAAATAAGAAACCAGTTAAAAACACACCTAAACCAGTCCACAACAACTAGTTCAGTCTAAAACCAGTCACAGAACTCAAAACCAGTCCAAAATCAGGGATAAAAATAATGTAGCTGAAAGAGGCAGGTATCGGATTCAAACACTCTGTTTATCAAGACTAAAACCAAGTCTAACCGAGGCTGAAGCTATCTCAAACAAGCCCAAAACCCAATCCAAAACAAGCTAAACCCAGTTCAATACCAGTTCAGAAAGAGAGGAGAACCATTCCAATAGCTACAACAAGTTTAGAATCAAAACCAAATCCCAAACTATTCTAGAGCTAAATCTAAATGGTAAATGGTCTGTACTTATTATATATACTTCTACCTTAGTGGTGTCCAAAGCGCTTTACAGTGTGTGTCCCATTCACCTGTTCACACACATTCATGCACCAATGGCGACAGCGCTGCCATGCAAGGTGCTGCCTGCTATTGGGAGCAAGTTCGGGTTCAGTGTCTTGCCCAAGGACACCTCGACTGTGGAGGGGATCGAACCAAAGCGATTAGAGGACAACCCGCTCTACCACCTGAGCCACAGCCGCCCTAAAACCAGACTAAAACGAGGCTCAAACCAGTTCAAAAACACCCCTAAACCAGTCCAAAACCAAGGATGAAAACTGGAGCTAATCAAGAGGAAATGTTGGATTCAAGCATCTAATCCCGGCCCGGTTTAAGTCAAGGCCAAAACCATCCAGAACCAGAGACCAAAGATGGAGCTAAAACAGCATAAATGTTGGACACGAACAAGTTCCACATTCCAGCTCGTTGGCTGTTGCATTGTGGGTAATGAAGGAGGCAGAACAACGTGTGGTGTCGTTCTGGAACTCTGCCGTGTTGTTTTTGAGGCAGAAGTTCATGTCGTCCGTTACGATGTTCAGTAATTACAGGTTTGCGCGCCAAGTCCTGATCGGTTGGAGCCAAATCTGCCGTCATGGCTGGTTGGTATTCAGCGTAGCGACTCCTTCAGACCAGAGACCGTGAAGAAGCTTTAAATCCAGGCAGACGTCCAATGAAAGCTGTTAGATGAGTCATGTCAGGTGTGCTGTGTTCCAACACGTCGTCACACCAGTAAACCCTGCAGAGGTGTTGTTTACTGGAGCAGTAAACTGGGAGGATGTTTCTGCTGATGACCTCCAGAACCTTCAGTTGCCCGGAGGTCAGACTAGATCCGGCTGAGGGGTTGTGAGGTGAAGCAGCAGCTGGTTTAAGTAACAGCCCTGAGTGTTGTGAAACTTTATTGGCATGAACAGAGTTTGGTTTCTCCACACGGGTTTCATATCCAGAGTTCGTCTGTGGAGTCCGAAGATCTCAGAAGCTTCACTCGGATCCCAAACAATCAAACAATCAGAACAACGACGGTGTTTTCAGATGTTTGGAATCTTTGCATCAGGGAAGCCTCTGACCCGAAACCAGTCCAGGACCAGGCTAAAACAACCAGTCCAAAACACAGTTAACCCAACAAAAACCAGACTAAACCTAAAAGTCTAAAACCAGTCAAAATATAGTTAAAACCATCCAGAACTCGGCTAAAAGAACCAGTCCAAAACTTGTCTAAAACCCTTCTAAACCAGTCCAGAACCAGGCTAAATGAACCAGTCCAAAACTTGTCTAAAACCCTTCTGAACCAGTCCAGAACCAGGCTAAAACATTACCTAACCACTTCAACATAAGGCTAGATCCAGTCCAAACCCAGAGCCATGATCTTGGTCAGTCCACTCGGAGATTCAGTGGTTCTGAGGTGAGAACTTCCGAACAATGAACCTCAGCTTTGTGGACGATAAATGAGGGTCAGTTGGTGAAACTCTGAACCAGCTGCTGTTCTTCTGACATTCGACATTTGGCTGTTCCAATGTAAGAACAGGAAACAGGAAGTAGATTCTAAAGTCGTAAACATGTGAGAACACTGAGGCGGTTTGATCCTGCAGGCATTTAAGGTTAAACGATGGTCCTGAACCTTCATATTAATGTTTCAGTTGCTCAGCTTGAACAAACATTAACCAGTGAGGTGATTAGAAAGCAGCTGCATGACTGAAGAGTTCAACAGAATAAACGTCTCACAGGAGAATTTACAGATATGAATGTTTTATATTCGTTATTAGCTGTTTCTGCTTGTGCAGGTCAGACAGAACGTAATAAATTAGAGATAAAAACTTTCTTTTAGTTCAGCCTTTTATAGAAACGATGCTTAAATTAATCAGCTTTGGGTTTCTAGTCTGTGGTTTCTTCTTGTGGATTAAAAGCTCTGAACTCGGACCGTTTGCTGTTTCGCCTCCAGACCAGATCAAGCTGGACTCCAAGGACCTTCGCTGGGTCGGAGCCTGGTGGGTCGGCTTCCTTATGGCCGCCTGCCTCCTCTTCATCACCGCGCTGCCGTACTTCTTCTTCCCCAGAAACATGCCCAAAGAGGTGAGTCCGGACGGGCAACGGTTCCAGCCCAGAATCACATCGGTTCATCTTTTATCGGCCTCGAAGTGCCGTCGTTCAGCCGACAGCCGGCGGTCGAGTTAGAAAGTCGTCACAGGCACTCGTTCCTACACAGCTGCCATCAGGTCATCATT